TTTTTGTATTTCAAGACAAGAAGCCTTATATATTAGAGTCACTTCTTAATTCTGGGGGATAGTTTTTTAAAAATGAGATTCCTATAGACTATTCAAAAGTCATTATGATTTGAGGATGTTTTTGCTTTGTTTTTGAGGAATCAGTAGCAAGGCTAATTCTGTTGAGAGTATCTGGCAGAACCATTTCCTGGTAAGAGGGAATAGCATGCCAGCCCTAAATCACCCATGGAATACTGCAATTTTATGAAAGTGTGAAATTAGAGTTCAAGGTTAGATTATGGTATGACCTTGGCATGTTGAATTACTTGCTTCAGACTATTAGTCATTGGTAGATTATGCATTGGCTACTTCCTGATGACATAGATAAGCACCAGGCATATCATCAGTAAAGTATCTCTAAATCTTGCTGTAGAATGGGTACTTCCACATTTGCTCAAAATGATAGTTATTAAATGTCTAGTGGCAGCGAAGTGGAGCCATGGTGCTTAAAGCCCTGGACCTGGAGTTGTGAAGACCTGAGTTCAAATGTGGCCTCAGACAACTCAGTAGCTTTGTGACCCTAGGTAAATTACTTAACCTCTACCTGGTTCAGTTTCTTTATTCTTAAAGTGAAGATAATAATAGCATCTACCTACTAGTGTTGTTTGTGAGGATAAAATGAGATAATGTTGGTAAAGTGCTATATAAAAATAGTAGATATTACTGTTATGCCTGCTGCTGGTCTGTTGGTGAATATAAAACACAAAGATGAACAAAACATATGGTCCTTGCCTGCATGGAGCTTATAGAGCCAGGGAAATAAATCAATTATAAATATAGCTATTGGTATAACACAAGGTAATTAATATAAGATGTAGAGTCACACAGTGATCTGTTAGTTTAGCAGAGAGAGCATTTACATTGCGTTTGGGAGCAGGAAAGGAAGACTTTTTTTTTTCTATTTGTCAAATCTTTATTGGATAAGTGGGGAAGGTTGGCAGGGTCCAGCTTAGTCCTTCTTGGCAGCAGCCTTCCTCATGGCAGCTAGGACTTTGCTGAGCTCCTCTCTCTTCCTCTAGGCCCAGATTTGAGTTCCCACCCTTTTTTTTGATGAATTTAAGAGCTCGCTTATCCTTGGAGACTTTTAACAATTCCATGGCCCACCTCTCATAAGGGGCAAATCCACACACCTCCTGAATTATATCTGTCACAAACTTGGTGTGTTTGGTTAAGAGCCCATGGTGGCAGTGTTGCTGCTTGAAAAGTTTTTTTGGTAACTTTGGGACCTTTGTTGAGACCTACGGCCATGGGGTATCAGATGGCCATGGCTGCGACACTACTGTATAGCCCCAATGGCAGCCACAGCAGAAGGTGAAAGGAAGACTTCTTGAAAGAGATGATATTTGAACAGTCTAGAAGGATGGGCAGGTTTTCAGTAGGAGATGTGGTCTTGGCAGGGCAGGTAGGACCTTAGAGACATGCTGAGGGAATAAACAACTAGTTCTGTTTGGTCTGTGTATCTGGGGCATGAAGAAGTGCTGTAAGTCAGTCAGTTGAGGTCAAATTAGAGAGATTCTTGAATATTACTTTTATGAGTTTGATCTTTATTTGCTGGCAATGGAGAATATCATGTTTGTTTGGTTTTTTAAAGAAGGGAATGACATTACCAGAACTGTGCTTTAGAAAAATGTACACACACAAAACACACACACACACACACACACAATAGATTAGAGGGTAAGGGTGTGAGGAGAGAATTGAGGGAAGACCAGTCAAAAGACTATTTTACGATTTTATTGATAACTTTTCTTTTTATATCACCTTCATTTCTCAATCTATCCCTTTCCTGTCCCACCCAGAAAACTATCTCTTTAAAATAACTAAAAGAAAAAAATTAATAAGCAGTTTAGCAAAATTGATCAATGTCACCAGCCCCTTTATTTTGATAAAGAAGAATGGTGGATTGGGGGGTATACTCCTGCATTGGTCATTATAATTACACAAGTTCAGCATTAGTTTTATTGTTATGCTTTCCTTTTACATTGCAGTAGTTGTCATGCATATTGTTTTCCTGGTTCTGCTTACTTCACCTTACTTCCATTCACATACCAATCAAGAGGCTATTATAATTCTAGGTGAGCCAGGAGGACCTAGCCTTGGGTGGAGGAAGTGCAATTAGAGAGAAGAGGGGGTGATTCACTGGGAAGGGTTTGAGCTGAGGCTGGATGACCACTAGCCAAGAATGTTATAGAGTTGGTTCCTATTTGCGTACAGGTTGAACTAGTTGACCTACGAGGTCTGTGAGATCTAGGGTGATTCTGTGATTGGGAAAGAAATTGAAAAGTTGGATATAGGGCTTAGTGAATGACTGCGCGTTGGAGGGAGAGGAAAAGGACAGTCAGAGATGACGCTGAAGTTTTGATCCTGGGTTACTGAGAGGAAGATGGATCTACAGAAATGGGTGGAAGGGAAGGGGATAAATAAGTACTTGTACAGAACCTACTATGTGCCAGGCACTGAGCTAAATTGCTTTACAGATATTATCTCATTTGATCCCTATTTGAAATTGGGAGGAAGAGGGGAATGTTTTGTGGGAAAATGATTTAAATTTCAGATATGCTGAGTTTGTAGAGCAAAACAGTTGAAAAATGGAAGTCTAGCTCAGAAAAGAAATTGGGACTGATTATATTAATTTTTGGGTCATCTTTATGTACTAATAACCAGTTGAAACCTAGGGTAGATGAGCTCAATCAATCAACAAGTATTTATTAAGCATTCCAAAGTGCCAGGCTCTAGGCCAGGTGATAGGGATAAGCAAGTAACTTAAGGAAAAGAGAGGTAAACTGGAAGAGTGGATAAAGAGTTTTCCTTGAAGACAGGCCCAACTAGTGGATTCTAATACTGCCCCTGATACATACTGATTATAAGAACCTGGATAAATCATTTAACTTCACAGTGCCCTCAGGCAACTCTATAAGACTAAAAGTTTCAGATCTAGTTTGGTAGAGGATTTTCCTCACTAAAGAGCTCCCTACACCAACAAAATCAAAGATCTGAACAAAAACAAATAAAAAAACAAAAAACTGTTGTAAAGTACTTTTTATCTCAAAAAGTGGAGGGGAGGGAGGATTATTCCCATTTTACAGATGAGAAAACTAAGGTCAAAGAAATTAACTGACTTGTAAAAAATCAAAACTAATAAGTCAAAGAAAGACCATATCTGAACATAAAGTCTTCTGACTCCAGGGACTTTTCCTTTTTATATTGTTGTCAATGGAGAATGTAGAGGGAGAACTTAATTTTCTTTAAATAGACCAATCTGAAGACGTGTACAATTGCTCATTGCAATCATTAAGGGTGGGAATTTACTGACTTGGTCTCTAGATTTAGCCTTCCCTCTTACTTTTGAGCCTAGAGACCTCTTTGTCTATGATGACAGTTTGATTCTCAGTAATACTTAGGCCCTGTGTAGTCATGCAGTCAAGTTTCACCAATATAGCCACAGCTAGGAATCAATCTCAGGAGTATATTTTAAAATAATGTATAAATTTCTATTAAACTAAAAACCTGTAAAATGTTGATTGGTTATTCCAGTTTCACAGATGAGAAAACAGGATTAGAGTTTTGTGGTGACTTGCCCAAGGGTCACTTGGATGAACTTGGTGGCAAATCAATTTCAAAAGGCACTGGATTTGTTATTAGAAAGCTGCAAAATGGACAAGATACAGATTAGAGGGCAACTAGGAAGTTACCTTATCTCAGCCATTCATTCAATCATATCCAGGTACTGACTCAAGCTAGAAGTATGGATCTAGGCTTGAAGTGTGAACAAAAAAAAGTCGGGGAGGGGGGCTTTCTTTGCCTTCAATATGGGCAGAAACACTCTCCTTAAAGTGAGTATTCCAGAATTTAGGAAGAGCGGACTCCGACTTGCAAAATATCCTACCTCCCTATGCAAAGTAGTTTTGATCTAGACTCTAGAGTTTGTCCAAAGGCCCATCCGCCTCCGCACACACACGTGTGGGTGGGGTTTGTCACCAGCAACTCCTGCCCAGCTGGGGACAAACTGCAAGCATCTGGAGACAGTGTGGAAAGAAAAGCATCCCCTGACTTTACACTTCAACCCGTAAACTAGTATAAAAATTTGTTTTCGGACAGAATCCCCACTTGGGGATCCCTGGTGCTATTCTGCCCTTGCCCTTATAGATTTGGAGTAAGTAGGCACTGGAGAAAGGTGATTGCTCAGCAGCCGTGCTCGCAGGTGCAACTTCGGCAAGCTCCCGGCACTTTATTCTTTGCGTGACCCAGGGAAAGAAACGCCCCGCCCACCTCGCACCGGCTGGGTGGGAGGTGGAAGGTGGTGCCTCTGCTGCGCCTGTCCCTTTAAATTTTCACCTCGCCTGGGAAAGCCCAGCGCGTCACGGCCACGCCCCTCTCCGTGCCCGAAACTATTAGGTGCCTGGAACGCAGCTGCGAGTGGGGGAAGGAGTAGGACGTGAGGGTGAGGAAGGAGTGTGGAGGGAGGAGCTGAAGGGAAGAGGGACCGGAGAGGGGGTGGGGACAAACAGGGAGGGGGTGGAGACGAAGAGGGGGAGGGAAAACGGAAGAGGGAGGGCGGGGGAGCGACGCTCCGCAGGTTCGGCCCAATGACCGCGCTCTCCGAGCCGTCGCCCCACCCCCAACGCCCGTCCCCCGTCTCCCGGCTCCGCCTCCGCCGGTAATAATTAGGCTGCGGGAGGGGGGCGCCGCGTCAGCGCCGAGCGTCGGCCAATCCCAGGGCTCCTCCCGGCGGTCGCGTCACGGGCCGAACAACCAAACAGAAAAGTTTAATAAACAGCGGACGGAGGGGCCGGCGGTGGTGGCGGCAGCGGCGGGGCCGGAGCCGGAGCCGGAGCGAGCGGGGGGTTGGACGGCCTCACCTGTTCCCATTCACCCGCGGCGGGGGCGGCGGCGGCAGCGGTTGTGGCGGGCCGTGTCCGGCGGAGGGAGCCGCCGCCAGGTGAGAGTGGCCGGGAGCCCTAGTCGGCTAAAGCTGTCCCCTCCCCCCGTTTGGGTCGGCCGGCCGGCAGGCTGAGAGGCTGGCGGGCGGCTCTCGAGCTCAGAGTTAGGCGCCTCCCTCTGCCCCTCCCGGCTCTGGCGGGGAGGGGGGAGCCGGAAGCGCCCACGCAGCAGGTGGTGGTGCCGGACCTCCCCCCGCCTTGTGGGTCTCGCACTCTTGGGGGGTGGGGAGGGAGAAAGAAGAGGAGGGAGCGAGAAGAGGGGACGTTTGTGGGGGAGGGGATTCCTGGCCGAAGAGATAATGGGGGGAGGGGAGAGCAGAGGCGGGGGTGGGGGCGGGATGGTGGGCGGAGACTTGGGGAGGCCGCGTGTGTGTGGGGTGTCCGGGGGCGGGGCGAGCTGTGGGGTGGGAAGATTAGGTTGGGGCGTGCTGTGGCCTCTGGGGTGGGAGAGGAGGGGAAGGAGACTCGGGGCCGGGCCCGGTTAGGGTGGGGTTGGAGTGTACTTTGTTTTCTGAAAGCTAGATCAGGTCCAGGGCTTTGGATTCTGAGGGTCGGGCCCTTCTAGGATACACAGGCCCTGGGCAGCGTTTCCCCCGGGGGGGGCGGGGTAAGAGTAGGCTTCCATTGGACAACTGATCCCTAATCGACCTGTTTACCTTTTTAGGTCGCTGGGTAACTACTTTCTGGCCCGGGATGTTCCCCGACCTCTTGTTGCCCTATTAACCCCAATTTTTATGTTACTGTTGGTGGTGTTGGGAGTTTCTTTAGACGCTTGGCGTGTGTACCACGTTTTAAGCACCTTTAAAACTGATCCTGTACTGTTCACGACTGTTCCTGTATAACATCCCGAACTATTTAGTGTTGTAAAAGTTATCCTTTTGGGGTGTCTAGTCTAAAGCTTTGGTAACATCTCTTTCTAGAGGATGGGAGAGGACACATTTTTATATCCTCTGGCATAGAAGTCTTCGGTATTTGATGATTCCCTCTTGGTTATCCTCTTCGGGAGGTAGTAACTTTGGCATAGAATGTGAATTTGGTAGATCGATCGTGTAGTTCCTTAGACACAACTGCTCTTTTAGCTAGTCTACTAGGAATTTTCTGATGCTAGTATTAAAATACTGTTTTTCCAGGTCACAACATTATTTTAGGCCTCTGATTCTAGTTGGATAGGTTTAGTATTTTCCTCTCTTGGGAGAAGCAAGGCTTTTGACTTAAACATTGATCAAGATAAAGTTTCGAAAATTTCACTATTAAATATTGTCTAGATCAAAATTGAACTTGTAATGGAAAGGATGTTGTTTCTGTAAGAAACTCAAGATTCTCCCACCACATACGTCCTAATAAGTAACCGTTATTGTAATCCACATAGTTACCATAGTTTGAAAATGTTAATAGCTGGAATTCAAACATTGATTCCAGATGAAAAGTAAATTGAGTTAACAAATTAACTGTAAAAAGTCGTTTCTAATAATACTACAGATTTAGTCTTGGGTGCTTTAAACTAAATGGGTACAAAAATGATTTTTAAAACAATTGTATTCTAGGGGCAGCTAGGTGGCACAGTGCATAGACCACCAGCCCTTGAAGTCAGGAGGACCTAAGTTCAAATCAGGCCTCAGAGCAGACACTTGACACTTACTAGCAGTGTGACCTTGAGCAAGTCACTTAACTCCAGTTGCCTTTAAAAAAATTGTATTTTGAAAAGGAATTTTAGCTTGGGTGTTTTTAGTAGCCAGGAGTAAAATGGAGTTAGCATATAATCTTTTCTGAATTTTAAAAAATAAGAATAAGAATTTTTTTTATTTGCATCTTTAGAAGAAAGCATCATAGTATGGAAAGGATACTTGAAGACATATAGAAAACTATATTAACTGTTGTGATCTTGGCAAGTGTGCTGCCTTGTTAATTTTTTCAGTATATAAAATGGAAATAACCCTTCCCCCACCTCCACCCCCAGGCAACATGAGTATTAAGTAAGGGTCTGTAACTTGAGGGAAAAACTTGAAATAGAGTCAACAAGGTGACTTCTGCAAAATTTCCTAGTTACTGCTGGAATTTTTTTGTAAGGAAAGCTAGCTACAATGACAGATATGATAGGTAAAAGAATAACACTGCAGCTTGATTTAAAAAAAATGTTACTTTTAAGATAAGAGGCGGTATCTAAATAAGGAAGTCTTCTTGACATACTGGACTGTGACCTTGAGCTAAAAACACTTAATCTAGGCCACTTTCCAAAGCATAAATTACAGAAAACCTGCGTTGGTAGAGGTAGTTTACTTACCTGGCAATTTCCCTATACTATTGAAATCCATAGGTCCAATCTCTGGCCATATTCATAAGGTAGAAATAGCCTAAACCGTTGTCAAGACTAAGAATTGCCTTTCTGTTCCACCCTTATTTTTCTACCACATGGGGGTTGAGGGGGGAATGATAGTGGAAAATTGCTCAAATTCATAAAGATAACATGTACGTGTAAAATAACCCACTTTTGTCTTTGATTAAACCAAATAACATAAAAGTAGAGAGAAGACTTTTAACTTATAATTTTTGAAAGGAAAGAAATCCCGGGAGTACACTTGTAACATTATGTTTTTTAACTTTTAAAAAACTTTTTTAAACATCCCATATCCCCTTGCAGGTTCATTCAAGAAGTGATTTGCCATAATGTTATAAATAATGTAGAAAATTAATTTTATATCCTTTTTCTCTTAAGCCTGATACTGTTTGTGGGCAGTGGAGGTGGTTCTTCAGCTTTGTTTTTATTAATGAACTCATTGAGAGAGCTTTTTTTTTGTAAAGTGTCTCCTTTCCATAATTACCCTTCCTAGTAATGATTTTTTTGGTTCCAACATGATGATCTAGTAAGGTCTGTCTAGGCTCTCTTGTGATTCTGAATAATTTTAAGAAGTGTTTTTGGCAGACCTGTGTCTTCTGGGAAGTGGATTCTTTAGAAAAATCTGAGTGACTTTAAGTCTCTTCTTCAGCCATAGAAATTGTACAAAAGTTCTCTTTGCTCCATTTATAAATTAAAGTACTTTAAATTTAGTGTTATCAATATATTTGCTCCTATTTTTCTTGTTAGGATCTTGATCAGCAGAAAAACTGGATGTGGCTTATTCTCAGATTCTTTCTAAAATGATCATATGGGAAAACCTCTTGGATATACGGGGTGAAATATGCATTCTTAGGATGTGAAAATTTTGTTCTTCCGGAGATAACGTCACATCAGATTGGAGACCTGATTTCCTTGTTCTGGTAAATGTCTTCCACATTGTTGGTTAGTGGTTTGTTTACTAATAATGGATTTCTTCGTGTGTTCCCATTTAGTTTTCCCTGCAGCTTTCTAAATTGACCTTTCTGAAGGAGATTTCCATACTGGGATAATCAGCTTTTTATGCCTGGGAGAACTTTTGGCGTACAAAGCATTTTTCTTTCTTTCTTTTTTTTTTTAGAAAAATAAATATTTGGATTTTTATTTTATGAAATTGAGTTTATCTTTATTGAATTTGATGTCCTACTTTTCTTTAGTCTTTGTTTTCTAACTACTGGTTGCAGGTGTGTTGATGACATCCTGGTTGTGCAGGATTGCTGAATTGTAACCTATATCTTATGTTGCTTGTGTCTGTTTCATACCAATAATTAACTTTTGTGGGTGAAGGCTTGTGGTCAGATCAAAGGTTGTTTTGTTGTGTAACTGCAGCTATTTGCTTCCAATTTCATGCCTACCAAATTTGGTGTTTTAAAATCTTCTTGTGACCTCTAAAATTGACTAGTCACATACACACACTATACCACATCTGCTGTATTAGTTTTCTGTTTATTGCTTCTGTTGTGTACCTGCTACTTTGGTGGCTTTACTTTTTTCCAAGAACAAATGGGAAGTTAGGGGAGGAAGAAAACCTGATGAACTTTACTGTTGTAGTGCTGTGCATTCAAAGCACTGAGTTCTTGCAAAGCATCTTGGGACTAGAACTCTGTGAATTAGCTCTTTCAATTTGTACACTTAAACAGCATAATAGATTATGCAGCTGTCTGGGCTTCTTGGGTTTAGCTTTTTTCGCCTTTTATTGCCTCATGTTTGATCCTTAGAGACAAATATGTGAATTTAATTTAATTTTTTAAAAAAGGCCGTCACTTCATATTCAAAGCACCTTTTATGTGTTTCTTTAAAATTTCATACTATCACAAAAGAATTGTCTTGCAATGGCATGATTACAGGAATCATGTATATAATTTAGTTCCTTGAACCATTAAAAAGAATGTTTGGTGAACTGTTAAGTAGCAATCATTGAAAACTTTATAAGACAATTTTCAACATTGATAAATTATATAAAATTTTAAAACTTACTCTAAAGACTCTTTGTTGACAAGCCCATTTAGCAATATTTTCTGAGTGTAATTCCTTTAGCTGTCTTTAGGACCCAGAGATATATAGTACCTTAAAGGAGGAATTTTTGAAAGGACTAAAAACTTTCTATTGATCAGACAAAAAAAATAAACTTGGTTACTTAGGTTATTAGGAACTCGGTCTTTGTTTACAGTAGATGCAGTAACTTTAGATAGAATAACTTTATAAAAATGACATATAATGTCAGGCAGACTTCTTAAGGTATAATATGGAACTACTGTTACTCTCTATAACATTTTCTTCTGCAATTGAAAAAAATGCAGTTGAAAACCTTATGATAATTTTGTGATATTGTTGGCAAACTTGTCAAAAAATGTTAAGAGATATCCCAGAAACAAATTTTTAGTACCTTATGATGAATGATAATTACAAGTTTTAGCGGATCTTCAGGATGACTTTCTGCACAGTGGAAACCGATTTAAGGGTATCCAAATTAGTTAAAAGGCATGAACGCTAAGAATGTTGCTGAATCATTTCCGAAGTTAGTAGACTGAAACTAGTTGAAACTTTTCAAAATAGCATAACCTACCTGTTATTCACCACCATTTCAAGTGAGCATCATCAGTTTTTAATTTCAAGTTAGTATCTTATTTGTGTGATATTAATTCTCCCTTTTAAAAGTTCTGACAGCAAGAATTGATGGGGGAAGGGGAAGGTACATCTTAATTTTTAGACAAAGTGAAATCCAGTGAAATCACAGTTAAAAAAAAAAAAACTAACCTCTTTTCCAGGGCTGATTCCAGCCACAGTTAAAGCATTGTATTCTGAATGGTTTGATAGCATGAAGTTGCATCAAGTAAGTTTTCGGTCCTGCATGATCTTAATTGATAGGCCATGCAGTTTTATTTTCTGAATAGGTAGAAAACAAATTCGATAGGTTGGAGGATACTGAACACTCATTACAGACTGTTTCTTTAAGGAGGCAGCTTTTTCAGGGTGTTTTAACATGCTTAACCTAACCTGCTAGCTGGGAAAAGTTCTTTAAAATAATGGATATTAGCCTTAACCAATCAAAACGAAGAATTTGTTAAAAGAGGTGGAGATCTGACTCTTCAGCCACTAACCTCAAGGAAGGCGGGGTTTGGTGTTCAGGGTTGGTTGCTTTGGAGTACTGCTTCAAGTGAAGTTAATCTGAGGTGAAGCAAACAGAAAATTGGGGAGGTTTTGGTAGGATTTTTGTTCTCATCTCATAATGTTCCTCTGTTTCACACTCGTGCACCTTTAGGTTTCTGTGTATGCCAGATTTTGCCATTGTTTTTTTTCCATTGTTAGCTGAACACTAGAATTAAGCAGGGAAGCAGAACAAAAGGGCTGTTTGGACAGGAAATAGGGTGCAGAGAATCCAACTTGACTTTCTGTGACGATTTAATTTGGTGTAGTGTCTGTCTTTTATTTAAAACTAGACCCCCTCCATATGAGAATCTTGTCGTGTATTGCTTATGTGAAGAATAATTCTTGAATAAAAAATGAGAACTTTAGGAGGTCTGCTTGATTTTTAAAAATGCTAATTTTTTGAAGAGATTAAGTAGCTGAATGAGTATCGAATAGGTTCTACCTGAAAGTATTGAGATATTGTAGTTGCATTTGTATTCTAACATCATCTTTAACTTTTAATTACATGTAAATACTAAAATGGGAAATTTAGATTTTAAAAAATATATACGTGGTATAATTTGATCGTCTTGAAAAGGGTCATTTATTTCCTTTTGAACAAAAGCGAAGCGAAACAAAACTGCTTTCACCTTGATTCATTTAAACATCTTTATTTCTTTGAAAGGTAGAGATTGAAACGGAATTTTTTTTAAGCCTTGCAAGCATATGATTCAAACTTGAGTTACATTTCAAAAAACATTTTTATTAGGAAATGATACAGTAGTCTTTTATTTAAAAATTATAGTATGTTTTGGTTATTTGGCATTTCTTTGTTAAAGGAAAAAAAATTTTTTTTAAAAGATTGTTGCTGCATTACAACTGTGAATCCAGGGGCCTATTTACTTTAAAAAGAATGGCTCCCTTGCTTTTAAAGTAACACCTACCCAGGGGGCTTAAATTCTTAAGTAGTTTGCGGACTCAGATTTGTTAAGGTACCTCAGTAAAATTTCACTGCTTTTAAAACTTTTAATTTGGAAGTTAGAAATTGAATATTTTGGGGGATATAAAAAGAATTAGGAAGACTGAATTAAGTGTGAGACTACTTTGACTGGATTTGTTTTCTGTAGTTAATGCTCTTGGTCTAAAGTTCCCTTTCTGTGTTTTTAAATAGTTTTCTTGCCATGTCCACCTGAAGGAAACTGAGAAAATACTTTCTGAAAACCAAGAAACATCTCCACTATACATTTTTCAGTAGTAGTAGGTCATTTATACTTAAATTAACTTTGCTTTTATTTAGGCCTTATCTTTGTATGCTTTTAAATATAGAACTATTTAGGACTTTAAGATATTTTTATTCTAAGTAACTGGAAGTATCACTAAAGGAGTCTAAAGAAGCAGTGTCAGTAACCTTCCATTTGTTTATCTAACAATCCACTCTACATATTATAGTTCTCATGTAGCTACTGGGAGTGTTTTTTATATGGACTTCAAGAACAGCCAAAATAATGTTTAGTTTAAGTAAATGATAATATTAGGTCTAGGTTTAAAAGTGATATCAGTACCCTTCAGTGTTTTATTGGTTTTAAGGACCCTGGCTTACCCTTAATTGTATATACTATATATAGACAAGTAGTATATATCTCTTTGCCTTTAATAGCATTCTTTGTTTCCTGATGACTTGCTGATTATATGTATTTATCACTACTAGACTTTCTGTGCTAAATGAGCTAGACTAGAAACAATTTGGATTCTTAGTCTAGACGCTTAATATTGATTCTTCTTCCGACCCTGTCCCCCCACACCCCCAAAGCAAAATGCAAAACAAATGTAAGTAGTATTTTTAAAATGCTAGTTTTACCAGTGAAGGTCCAGTGATACAATATTTGTGAATAGGAATTAATTATCCTTAAGCCAAATATTTTATTAAAACATTCTAATCCATTTTGTAAGTCAAATACTATAACTAGTCATTCTGAAAAGATTATTAATTAGTTGCAATAATTCTCACTTTATACTACTTGCAGCTTTTAGACTTCATAGTAGTGATTGTGTATTTTGTATTTGATGGTTTTATAGGTGGAAATTTTTTCTGTCACGACTGAAAAGTTCTATTTTCCTCAATATTTGAACTTAAGTTCAATTTTTATACCAGAGGATAGAAATTTAGCTTTCATTATTGAAAATGTTACTCAGTCATTTTTACTTAGTGAACTAATTTCTTTGAGGATCTGTTGTACACTTGTATTTTAAGTTGTTTCTTAATGTGTAAGAATATGAGTACTTTCTACCTTTTTATGAATAGAATGGTTAATTGACTTTTCATTTGAATAACTGAATCCAAATTTTGATTTAGTCTTTTACCTATCATATGAAATATTTACCTCATTCAAAATTTATGAGAAAATGAATTTGATTTTCATTGATTTTCATTTCTTTAACTTTTAGACAGGATTATTTTATAGCTCTTTACAGTTTGTTTTGTATATGGAATCCCGAGTAAGGACTGCCAACTTTCTCTTACACTATAGGAAAATCCAAATTGGTGATTCTTGGTCAGTCTCTTCAGATTACCTGGTTACAGTCTCTTGTAGACATATTGTACAAAATAAAGGTTTATGGTTGAGTCTGGAAGCAAAATATGAATAATTTTGTTTTCTTAGGGAAGAGGTCTTAGGAATAAGACTCTAAAAGTTTCTTAGTTTTTTTATGGATGTCAGATGTATTTATTAGTAACTTTTTTGATGCTTTTTAAATGAATGGATCAAGGAACATAAGTAACCTTTTAATAGTGCCAGTTTCATATTAGGTGCTTAATAAGTGCTAGGTGACCAGTGTATGAGATGAATATTTGTCACTTTTTATAATCCTGTAGATATGGCATGCAGTATGGAATTAGAGATTTAGAGCTGAAAGAGAACGAAGAGGTTTTAGAGTCTAACTGCCTCATTTTACAGTTGAAGAAACTGAGGCATAGAAAGGGGAAATTGATGTGTCGTAAGGATAGATAGCTAATTAGTGCCTTGACTAAAAATCTGAACTCGGGTCTTCTTGGCTCCCAAGTCCAGTGGCCCCATGCAATACAGTATAGTTTGCTATCCTAAAGTCCTTTACTGACTAGGAATTGAACCCAGGAGTTAATAAGTAGGGAAAGCACAGAATCCTAACCAGTAGACCATGGGGAAAAGAATCACAAATTACTAGTATATTTTCTTCCTATTTCCTACTGACAATCATTTTGGAGGCCAGCCATCGCTTTGGATTGTGACTATCATAATTCAGGATTTAAAAAAATAGCTATTATATTATTATGTTACAAAGTAGTCATGTAGGTTGCCTTTCCTGTTTGTATTCTCTGTGAGAGCCGGTAAATGGTTTAGTATAGGTAACTTTTGTTCCTAATTCTTGAGAAGTGTATATACCCAAACCTGTTTTTGAATGAATCTGTGTTTTCCTATATTCTAACCATTAAAAACGAACTGAAAGAAATATTTATATCTGAGGTACAGAGGGAGCTAGGGGACGGTGGAAGAGCAGTTGGAAGAAGTAGTCAACCCCTATTAATACTTGGTTAAAAAATTAGCTTAAAGCTACCTCATTATGATGTGATTTTTCAGGTATCATTAACCTTTGGCATGCACTGAAAAGTGTCATATAAGCAGGTAGCTGGCATGAGGAATAGAATCCTGGTGAGGATTAAATGATATACCATGTAAGAGCACTTTGAAAACATTAATTGGCTATATATATTCTATTACTACTTTTACTAGTACTACTATTATGACTACTACTGTTACTACTGCTGCTGTTCCTAGCACTAGTACTACTACTAGCACTGGGCTTTGAAGTCTTTTTGAGTCCAAGAACCGGGTTCAAATCTCTTATTCTCATTTGACCCTCAGTTTCCTTATTTGTAAGGGTTCAAGTCTCTTATTCTTATTTGACCCTCAGTTTCCTTATTTGTAAAATGAGGATAAGAATGTTTGTACTACCTTTCGGTTAGTAGTGATTTGATTCAAATGATATAAAGTGTTAGGTATAAGGGCTAAAAAAATCTAAGCTATTATTACTTTTTTTTTTAAGGCAATTGGGGTTAAGTGACTTGCCCAGGGTCACACAGCTAGTAAGTGTCAAGTGTTTGGTCTGAGGCGGGATTTGAACTCAGGCACTCCTGATTTCAGGACTGGTGCTCTATCCTCTGTGCCACCTCAGTGCCCCTATTATTACTTCTTTTAAGGCTGCATTGAATGTTGCTTCCTTAAAGCCCCTAAATGGTTCCAAAGGTACTTTTGACACTTTTGAAATGTTATAAAAAGCATGTTTTTCTGTTTGTTTTGGAATTAACAGCTACTCTGTTACCTATTTAAGTGACTGAGTCCCAAGACTGAAATGGTGTAAAAAGAGATTAGGCAAAAGTGTAAAAGCAGTTTATGCAAGTCCCTCTACTGTTTGAAATACTAATAATGTCTTGGAATTCACACCTAGTCACTTCTACTTTCAGGTATGGGGCTATATACCTCAGAGATATTTTGGGTTGGGTTTCTAAAGCAGGTCACAAATTTTTTGATTTCCCATTGCATATAAAAGTTATGTTTACGGTATACTATTGTGTATCAAGGGTATAATAGTATTATGTCTAAGAAACCCATGTATGTACCTTAATTAAAAATACTTTATTGCTAAAAAAAAATGCTAATCATCATCTGAGCCTTCAGTGAAGTCATCTCTTTGTTAAGGGAAGGTCTTACTGGCTGTTGAAGATAGTGACAATTTCTTAAAATAAGACAGCAGTGAACTTTGCTTCATTGATTGACTCTTTCTTTTATTTTTAGAGGTATTAATTGGCCTAATTCGGTATTGTTGTGCTTCAGGGAATAGGGAGACCTGAGGAGAGGGGGAAGAGAGAAGGAACTGGAGGTCAGTGGAGCAATCAGAACAACACACATTTATAGATTGTTTGCCATCTTATATTGGGTTTATGGCACCCCAAAAGCTAGTAACATCAAAGATCACTGATCACAGATCACCATAACAGACATAATAATAATGAAAAAGTTTTAAATATTGCTAGAATTACCAAAATGTGACACAGACACTGTGTGAGCACATGCTTTTGGAAAAAGGGCACTGATACACTTGCTTGGCACAGGGTTGCCATAAACCTTCAATTTGTAAAAAATGTAATATCTTTGAAGCACAGTAAATCGAAGTACAACAAAATGAGGTATGCCTCAATAAGAAGTATCCACCTGTGAATGAATACAGCATCTTTGAAAGTAAATTGAGGGTAGCTTTTAAATAGCTTAACCCAGTTACTTTCCCTTGCCCCCAGCCTTCAACCTAATTTAGACTTTCTTATGCCATCCCAATCTCCCCTCCCTCCCCTTCCTCTAGTGCAAAGTACAGTACCACATCTTATGCAAAGTGACTCATAGGATGAGAAGTATGATTCTGTAAACTTCTGGATGGAGACTTATAAATGAAACTGAATGTCCTTGCTGTCCTCTAAAAACACAATTGCTTGTAGATGTGAAAACTCAACTTTTCTCACTATGCCAAATCCCTGAGAAAAGTTTGAATGGACTAACCTCAAAATTAGAAGTTTGGGTAAACCCTTGACAGTTTATTTTCAAAAAGGTTTTAAATCTTTGCCCAAAGCTTTGAGATTATAGGCATTTTAGCCCTGTTTAGACTTGCTTTTTAAAGACATAAAGCCCTAACCTGCTCTTCAGCATTTGTGTAAAAGGCATTTTGGTAAGTGCTGAGGATACAAAAATGTAAGCATAACTAGTTCTTGCCTCTAGGAGAAAGAAATACAATATGGTGGGAGGAGGGAATAATACATATTAAAAAATAACATGTGAGGTAAGTTATGGTAAAGACAAAGGAATTTATACACAGTGGATCCCTGCAGGCTCCATAATATGACTGTGAAAACCACAAATTAACATTGTGTTGTATTGTATTTTTATTTATTTTGTTAAACTTTTCTGCATTATATTTTAATCTGGTTCAGGCCACACCAGGAAGTTTTGTAAACCCTGAATAGGACACTGATCTAGACAGCTTGCCATTTGGAAGTAAGGAAGAGTCATATCCCTTTTTATGGGAAAAGAGAAGGTGTGGGAGGCTAGAAATTATAAGGGGTTGAATGGAGTTAAAGTAGATAAACATACACATGCGGAACACTGCTCATCTCATACTTCTGAAACTTTTTTTTTTCCTTAGGCAGTTGGGGTTAAGCCCAGGGTCACACAGCTGGTAAGTGTCAAGTGTTTGATCTGAGGCTGGAGTTCAAACTGGGTCAAAGGATTGCAATTTAATAACATTTGGGGCATAGTTCCAAATTGCTTTCTTGAATGGCTGGACCAATTCACAACTCCACCAACAGTGTGTTAACATACCCATTTGCTCACAGCCCCTACGATGTTAGTCATTTTCCTTTTTTTGTCAGCTTCGTTCATTTGATCAGTGTGTGGTAGAGTCTGAGTTGTTTTAATAGGCATTTATTTCTGGAATAATGATTAAGAGCATATTTATATGGCTTTTGATAGATTAGATTTCTTCCTCTGAAAACTGGCCTTTGATAATGGTTTTTAGAAATTTTTGCTTCTGAAAAATAAAGAAAATGCAAATGAGCAGTTCTTTTATAGCTTTAAGTGTCTGTTTCAATTAATAAAAATTAACAGATTTTCTAAATGATTGGGAAGAAATCAATACTTTGAGAATAGAATATGTCACAGAACATCTTTATTCAATGAAAATCACTTTTCATATGGAAGAATTATTTAGATCCTGTTGATTCTACATCTGCCATACTAATAATTTTTCTTTTCTTCAACTCATACTACATCTACTCTGGTTTAGACTCTTGTAGCCTTTCCTCGGACTATTAAAATGACTTTCTAGTAGCTATTGTTGCCTCTAGTGTCTGTTCACCCATGACATGCTTGCCCAAGTAATCTTCCTGATGTACTGTTCTGTTGAAGTAAGTTTTTCTTAAAAAATGTATGGTGATTCCCCATTGCCTACCAAATAAAATACAGATTTCTTAGCTTTAACATTCAAAGCTCTCCACAGGCTAGTTCTAACTTCTTTCTTTTTGTATTCCATCTAAATTAAACCAGTCTCTATTCTCTGTTCTCTTATCCCCCTCTCATCTCACCCTTCTCCCTCTGTTATCACTAGAATTGGTTCCTCTTCCTTCTCCCTCATACCTTGTCAGTGCCTAATTTGAGCTTTATTCTCTCTATGAAGCCTTGTATGATTTACTTCCCTAAGTTGGAAAAGTCATATCTTTCCTCTAGTTTGTTTCTGGGACTCTCCTCTTCACTAGGTAAGTGCAGTAATAGAGTGCTGTGCTGGAATGTGACATCAGATAATAATTGTGTGACCTTGGGTAAGTCATTTAAGCTTTGTTTCAGTTTCTCTAATTGTAAAATGGGAACAATAATAGCACTTTCCTCCCATAGTTGTTTTGAGGATCAAATGAGATATTTGTAAAGCACTCAGCATAGTGCCTGGCACATAGTAGGTATTGGTACAAATGCTGGCTATTATAATTTTCATTGTTATTATTCATATTCACCTTATGTTTTCTTTTTTTTATTGCCAAGTTCAAATTTATTTCGAGTAATAGTTCTTTTTTAAAAAATCTTATTATTTTGATTTATCAATAATCACTTCCATATGCTTTTTTTGTTTTGTTTTGTTTTTTTGACTTGCCCAGGGTTACACAGCTAGTAAGTGTTATGTGTCTGAGGCTGGATTTGAACCCAGGTCCTCCTGAATCCAGGACCAGTGCTCTAACCACTGCACCACCTAGCTGCCCCCCCATATGCTTTTGAGTTTAAAATTTTTCTCCTCCTTCCTCCTCACCACCCTCCCCAAGACGACGCACAGTCTTATATAGGCTATACATTTACATTCTATTAAACATATTTTCACATTAGTGATATTTCAAGTAAAAATTAAAACAATAGGAAGAACCATCAGATAGAGGAAACAAAACTCAACAGAAGAGGAAAAAAAAATAGCAATTCAACTTCCATAGTTCTTTCTTTGGATTTGTATGGCATTTTCCATCACGAGGCCTCTGGAGATGTCTTAGATCCTTGTAATACTGAGAAGGGTTAAATCTATCAACATTAGTCATCACACAAGGTGGCTGTTACTGTGTACAATGTTCTCCTGGTTCTGCTCACTTCGCTCAGCATCAGACCATACGGGTCTTTCAAGGTTTTTCTGAAGTCAGCCTGTTCATCATTTGTTATAGCACAATAGTATTCCATTACATTCATATACCACAACTTGCTTAGCCATTCCTCAATTGATGGGCATCCTCTCAATTTCCAATTCTTTGCCACCACAAAAAGAGCTGCTATGAATATTTTTGTATATGTGGGTCCTTTTCCCATTTGTATGATCTCTTTGGGATATAGCCCTAGAAGTGCTATTGCTGGGTCAAAGGGTATGCACATTTTTACAGCCCTTTGGGCATAGTTCCAGATTGTTCTCCAAAATTCACCTTACATTTTCTACCTCATGTTGTCATATATCTTGTTGAATGTACTACCCCCATCTATTTCTTCCCTTTCATAGCTAAAGTACTAAAAAAAAAGCTGCAAGTGATTGTTGCCTATATTTCTTCAATTCTCTATCTTTTACAATTTGACTTTTTATCAGCAAAAATTTGTTAAGGGCTTACTGTGTACCAACCACTGTGCTAAATGCTATAGGTATAATGACAAAAGTGAAATAGTCTGTGCCCCCAAAGAGCTTATATCCTTATGAAGGAAACAATATGTACATATATAAATATGAAAATAATATATACAAAATGAATCGAAGATAGTTTGTGGATGGGGAGTACATGAACCTTTGAGGGGATCAGGAGAACATCAAAATATTGTGTATTTTATGCAGCTTTGACTTTTCAAAGTGAAATCACTATTAATTTGAGGATCTCGTACATTAATATGTTTCAGTACTTGGTTTAAAATAACCACTAAATATGCTATCTTTATTTTTATATCTCCTTTAATTTCCAATATGTCTCTTTCCTTTCCTCAGGCATTCTTATTTATCTTTTATTTTGTTAAATATTTCCCAATATGTGTAAAAAAAATTAACAGTAATTTTAAAAAATTTTGAGTTCCAAATTCTTCCCCTCTTTCTGTCCCCTTCTCCCTTCCAAGCAGTTTGATTTCAGTTATACATGTGAAGCCATAGAAAACATGTTTCCATATTAGTCATGTTGCAAAAGGAAACAACAAAATAAAACGGTAAAATAAAGGAAGTAAAAAAAGTGGTTCAGTCTGCATTCAGAGTTCATCATGTCTCTGGAAGTAGATAGCATTTTTCATTATGGGTTCCTTGGAATTTCTTGCTCAGAGTAGCTAAGCTTTTTGTATTTGATCCATTATAATATTGTTATAATTGTGTACAATGTTCTGGTTCTGCTTACTTCACTTTGCATGAGTTCATATAAGTCTGAGGTTTCTTGTAGTACAGTAGTATTCCATCACAGTCACATACCAGGACATGTTCAGACATTCCCCAATTGATAGACAGCTCCTCAAATTTCCAATTCTATGCACTAGAAAAAGAGCTGCTAGAAAAATTTTTGTACACATATATCATTTCCCCTTTTCTTTCATTTCTTTGGGATACAGATCTAGTAGTGATGTTGCTGGGTCTAAATGTATGCACAGTTTGCTAGCCCTTTGGACATAGTTCCAAATTGTTCTCGAGAGTGGTTGGACTAGTTCACAACCCCAGCAAGGTATCTCCTTTAGTATTTGTCATTTTCCTTTTGTGTTACTTTAATCAGTCTCATAGATACGAGGTGGTATCTCAGGGTTGTCTTAATTTGCATTTCTCTAATCAGTAGTGATTTACAGCATTTTTT